TTTGAAACATGGAGAAGTTCGTGGCCATAAGGGATGACGTGCCGAAAGGCGTGCTTTGTTTCGTTTTTATTTATTCTTCTGTCTTCTTATAACTGCAATTAACTGAAGGGACTAGATCTTATATCATGGCAACGCAATTGATTAAAGCCCTTGCTCTTTTTTTTTTTTTTTTTTTAAACTTGATGCGTTGTTCTCTGATTATATTTATGATGATTCGTATTAATATTAATATATCAAGACGCTACCGCATTCATAGTCCATTAGTTTCCTTAGTGGCTGCCCCATTAACAATCATATCATTTGCTTGTAAGAATCCACACTAATGGCTATCATCTGATAACTTGTCCCAATGTTCATGTTAAACTGCATGTTGAATAAATAATACACAATAGAAAGGCTATATCAAATATCTTCAAAAGAAGGTAGAAATACATCCAATTGAAGGAACTTTTATTATGTTCGGTGCAAGGACGTAGAGGAACGTCCGGTCGGAGGCAATTTCCCGTCAAAAAATTAGGTATTTGCTCGGTACAACTAGGTATTATTTGATAATAATGAGGAATACCGTTCTCTGAAGACCTATACCGAGTTATACCGAGCTGTAACGAGAAATACCGAGTTGTACCGAGTTTTTCTGGGAAAAACTCGGTACAACTTTGGTATAACTCGGTATTTGCTCGGTAAAGCCCGGTATAACTCGGTATTGGGTCTTCAAATGATGGTATTCTTCGTTATTGTTTGGTATTGCTCGATATTTTCTCGGTACAACTCATTTTTTGGCGGGAATTTGCCTCCGACCGGACATTCCTCTACGTCCGGTCGGAGGACGTAATAATTGTGTAGACATTTGTTAATTGAGTTAGACATACAATCCAAGGGCAAGTTTGCACTGTCAAGCTTTTGGAATGCCAATGACTTGACCATGTTTGACTGTCATTATATTTCAAAAATATAGAATTTGGCTAAGCTGCTCTAAGTATAAAATAGTTTAGCTGGCACATTTGGAGAGAATCTCACATTGTCTTTGATATTAATCCTCAATCAAAATTGAAAAGTTTACATGCTTTTGGAGTTGCCATCGCACTACAGGAAAAACGTCAAATATCGACTGAAGCTCAATAGAAATGCAATCAAATCAATCATAATTATTTATTGTTGGAACCTACATTCTTTCTGTTTCCATGAATTATTAGAACCATGCCTCGCTTTTGTTTTGATATTGATTCAGTGATTTTATCAATTTGCAATTTTATTGAATTTCAACATCTACATGATATGAAATGTGTGTAAAGGCAAGAAATGTTGACTTAAAATGATCGAATAATTTAGATTGTCTGGAAACATGTTATCCTATATAAGAGGATGGGCCGACGGACTTTATTTTAAATAAAGCTTATGGTGTAATCCTCAGTGATATGAAAAAAAGGATGTATAAAACGAATGACTGATATGATATGAATATATGATACAACAATGGATAAGAAGTGACAACTTCTTATATGAAAGTTACATGACTTGTGATATATGATATAAAACTTATTTCTAGAAACAACACTATAGAAAAACATTCGATTACGATCAGAGCTTCCGGTGGAATATAATATGCGGGTAACAACGACGCGTGAACCGGCGAAAAATTCGACGGTGACATAACAACGGTAGTTCCGACGTAAAATCCGCCGGTTATTTTTCGGCGTATGATCCTCTATCCTTTCCGCTATAATTTATGAGATAAGCAGTTTATTCCGGCGTATTTTTCATCGGTAGTTTACGGCACACAATCGGAGAAAGATTTCACTGGCCTACTTAAACTCGATGAAACTTTTATGTCAAAAATTACGACGGTAAAAATACCGACGAATTAGTTACTGGAAAAGCCAACGAAAAAAGCTCTATTTCCCTCTCGAGCCCGTCTTCCTTATCATTTCCTTTCTTCACATTTCAGTTTGCTCCGATCGCCTCCGTCTCCTCAGCTGAACGCCGCCGCTGCCGAGATAGACCCATCGTCCAACGGACTTCCACCAATTTTTCCGATGTTCACCACCTCAATCGCCGATGTCCGCCGCTCTTTTGCTGAAAATCCACCGTAAGATTTTATGTTTTCATGGAGTTTCTCTGTAGATATTAATAATATATTATACCATGGTGTACAACATATATATATATGATAATTGCATTGGATGTATATGATATATGATATTTGTTATTATAATCTATATGATATGAAATGTGTGTGAAGGAAAAAACTCTTGGTTGAAAATGATTGACTGATTTAGATTGTTTGGAGACATGTTATCCTATATATGAGGATGAGCACACGGACTTTCCTTTAAGCAAAGCTTATGGTATAATCCTCTGATATGAAAAGGGCGATATAAGGAGAATGACTGATATGATATGATACACTAATGGACTAGAAGTGAAGACTTCTTATATGAATTTTACCTGACTTGTGATATATGATATGGAACTTATTTCTTGAAATAAGACTGATGTAATTGAGTAATTGAGGCTAATTATTATATGTTTGACCTACAAGACTGAATACATGAAAAACACCATATATAGCTGGATGTTCTATCTTGTTTGTATGCATATTTGACATGATAAATTATATAAATGACATTATATAATATGATTTGTACATAATTCATGCTGCATACAGGACAAAATTGATAGAGGCACGTAATATGATTAATAAGATTGATACAATAGCATAAAATATATGAATTACATGATATATAATGTATTGTATTATTATACATGATATCATACACAAGATACCTACCTTGATATTGTACAATATGCAAACAATATATATAGAGTACTTGCTAGATATTATATATATATATATTAATATATTATATGAATTTTATAAGACATCTCCCTGCCTGCGGGTAGAGTCCGGATAATCTGGCCTATGAGGATGAAGTGCCGGACCTAGGGAGACCCAGTCTTTTCAAAAAATTATTTTCTATAAGCCTATTTTTTAAAATTATATAGCATTCATGAGCTGACATTTCAACTAGCATGCATTGCATTAGTAACCAACTAAATAAAATTTAATTGCATTAGCTAGGAGCATCTGACCCACATAAGTCTAGGACCACTTAAAAAATCCTCTAGATGTCGGTCATATCTCCAAAGAACTGTACCACCCAACCATCTTTCATATTTGACTTGATAACATAATTTTAAAGCGATTAGGTGGTTAGCTGGTTCCCCAATCCAGGCCGGGATAAGTCCAGGTTTTTACATTGCATTAGCTAGGACACGGGCCTTAGTGTTGTGTAGAACACTAAGCCCAACCTAGATCTAGGATTCGAGGCTACTACACTCGGTCTCGTAGTATGACTTAAATAATAGGTAGGTCCCTTCTTTTCAGGGACACTAAATCCTACTTATCTGCGCCACAGGATGACGCCACATCCATCCTTCTCTCACGCATGTGATTGATTGCTAGATCCTTTATTTTCTCCAGTTTCTCTCTAGTACCCTAGAGCCTCTGAGTGCTGGTATGAGCCATGCATGTTGAGTTAGCCCTTAAAGTTCTATTTTTCACTCTTAGTTTACATGTCATCCTGCTAATATTCTTATTGGATATCTTGCACTCATATTTTTATAGATCTCATAAATCATAGTTATATATGATAGTCATTGAGTCACCTCCATGACTCAAGGGAGTTTTGATTTAATTTTAAATATTATTTATATTATATATCATATAGTGTTAGGATTTATAGATTTCAAACTCACAAGTAGGAACATTATGACTTAATGGAGTGGATTAAGAGTACTTTCTTGTTTTGAAGTTGAAGTGTAGGGCATGTGTTCATATTTATATACTACACACATGTACTAGAAAATTTGTCGCAATAGAGTATTTAATATCTTAGCTTTGTAAAAGATCTAGTACATACATACACAATTTGTGAAGGTCATTAGGATTTTTAAGCAGAAAATTCAAGATGGAGAAAAATCATGAGGCTTGGACCAATTTCAATAATCCACTATATAGTTGTAGATATATGAATTTGCTTTTTCCAATATATAATTCGTATTATAGGAATTACCATAGTTAGATGCCCGTAGGTTGATTATTGAAGTTTCATAATGGGATTAGATGTTAGTAGTCAAACAACAACAAGATGGTGAAAGTCAAGTGATGGTGATAGCGATTGGTGATGATAATAACTAGCAGGGATTGTTGAAAAGTGCTATAGAGTTTTTTAACTCTCTTAGCTCTCAAATTCACCGTGTAGAAAATAAAGCTCTATTAATAGCTTTTTTGAGAGGGATAATTTGGTAAGTTGACAAGAATCTGAAACATTTAATCAAATGATTGATATTGATCTCGTGATTTTATATCATTTATCCAACATGTGAGTAGATTAATCATGTCAAAATCGAATGATATTGAGCTTATTAATTGGATTCATCTAGTTAGGCTGCTTGATTTGATTGTAAGCACATAAGATTTAAAGACTATTTTATCCTTCAATTGATATCTTAAAACTCTCAAATATATTTTAAGTGATTGATTTGGGTTCATTTGGACATAGATCATATCATTTTTTATGTAGACCGATGTCTCATTGATACATTTAGTTCAACTATAAATATGTTGAGATTCAAGTTTTAATGATATTGAATTTAATTTTGAAAATTTCTAATTGAAACATTATTTTGAAATTTATGCCAATGAATTTTCAAAAAATGTGCTATATACTTATTTTAAAAAAAACAAATTAGCAAAATCAAATAAATAACTCATTAAAGATCTAGCAAGCGAACTTGATACATAATTTAGTAATATCGTAGTAGAAATGCAATGCTATCAAGTCTATAACGTGTAAAAAGAGTTAAAAAATATTCTCCATAAGAGAGGACATTTCAGTCTATTTGTTAGAAATTTTGACTACCAATTAAAATATTTGAGTTCAAATCTTATATATGTTGACCTAAATGTAAAAAATAAATAAATAAATAAATAAAATTGAAATTACCAACAGCATTATACACGTTAAAATCTCCACGTGTCACTCGGTGACAGAAAGTAGCTTTGCGATTCGTGAATAGTAATAAGACGGGAAAGATTCCTGTTTTTGCGGAAATATTCCTTAGTCACGGAGTAGAAAGTCCGAGAAAACGGCTGGGTTCTCTTCTGGTCCTCCGTACCCGACCCGTAAAAAACTCCCGACTCATATTACGTCATTGGCGCATTTAAAAATCCGTACCCTTTATCCATAAATGCGGATCCCATCTCAAACCCCGCGGGACCCGTTAGCAACATATAGCCGTTACCCAGTCAGAGACGACCGCCCCATGATTCCCATTTTCCTTGTTCCCCACTTCCAAACTCCATCCGCTCCCGCTCGCAAACAGAAATGGCTAACTAGCCGTTACTCCTCTCCTTAAAGAACCCCTCATTAGATCCCTATCCCAGATATATAAGCTTCTTTTCTGTCTCTCTCCGTCTCCAAAATCTCTCTCCTCTCTTTCTCAGTTCAAATTGATGAAACACTGACTTATACACATTTGGATTTGTATGATCTCAAATGGAAGCACGCCCATTGTTTGTTCTAGAGCACAGGAAGGATAACTGTAAGAAGAAAACACTTTTTTTGTTTCACTCTCTTTGCTTGATTCTCTTCTCCGCCGCAGTAGTAGCAACGAGCTCGTTGGACGGAATCATCATCGCCGAGGAAGACTACCAAGGGCTCCAGGCCTTCAAGCACGCAATCAATGACCCGCGAGGCTTCCTTCGAAGTTGGAACGACACTGGCCTTGGCGCTTGCTCGGGAGCCTGGTTTGGCATTAAGTGCGTTAAGGGAAAAGTGATTGCCATCCAACTTCCATGGAGGGGTCTCGGCGGCCACATTTCGGAGAAGATCGGCCAGCTCACCGCACTGCGCAAGCTCAGTCTCCATAACAACTTGATCGGCGGCCAGATCCCTTCAGCCGTCGGCTTCCTTTCAGATCTTCGTGGCCTTATTCTGTTCAACAACCGCTTCTCCGGCGAGGTCCCGCCGTCAATCGGTAACTGTTTAAAGCTCCGGACTCTAGATCTTAGCAATAATTCGCTTTCTGGTAAAATTCCCCCTTCGATTTCAAACTCTTCTAAGCTTTATAGGCTTAATCTGAGCTTTAACCATTTCTCTGGCGAGATTCCGGCGGATATTGCTAAGTCTCCTGCTTTAACTTTTCTTTCTCTGCAACACAACGCGCTCTCTGGTCCAATTCCTCATGCGACAGCTTATAAGCTGCAATACTTGAATCTTGATGAAAACCATCTTTCTGGACCCATTCCTGCTTCCTTGGGGCAACTGAGGTTGTTGAAAGAGATCACTCTGAGTAACAATCAGCTCAATGGTAGCATACCTAAAGAAATCGGTTCCCTTTTGATGCTTAAAACCTTGGATATCTCGCAAAACTCCATTGGAGGAAGCTTTTCAGCTTCACTATGCAATCTTTCTTCTCTGCTCAAATTAAACCTTGCGGGTAATTCCCTTAATGGAAGGCTCCCCGACTCACTTGACAAGCTTGGGAATCTCTCCGTTCTCTCTCTTAAAATGAACCAGCTCAATGGAGAGCTTCCTTCAACAATGGGGAGCATTTCAAACCTCTCACTTCTCGATTTGTCTGAAAATAATTTCACTGGTCATATCCCTGCATCTCTTTCTCACCTCTCAAAGCTCACATTTTTAAATGTGTCTGATAACAATCTTTCAGGTAGAGTCCCAGCTCTGCTGTCTGAAAGATTTAATTCTAGCTCTTTCATAGGAAACATTAACCTCTGTGGCTATAGCTCTTCAACTCCTTGCCCTGCTAACCTACCACCCCCACCATCTTCTCCGCCGGAATCCCATCGCCGGAGATTGAACACTAGAGATATAATTATAATTGGTGCAGGGATTGTTATTGCGTTTCTTTTCCTCCTCTGCTGTGCTCTGCTCTGTTTTTTGATCAGGAAAAGAGCAACCTTTCGTAAACAGAGAAAATCAGTGGGTGGAACAGAGAAAGCTGGACAAGCAGCTGCCGAAGCAGATACCGGTGGAGATTCAGGAGGGAAGCTGGTGCACTTCGACGGGCCTCTCGTTTTCACCGCCGATGATCTTCTGTGCGCGACAGCGGAGATTATGGGAAAGAGTACTTATGGGACTGTGTATAAGGCGACATTGGAGGATGGAAATCTGGTGGCGGTGAAGAGATTGAGGGAGAAGATTGCAAAGAGCCAGAAAGAGTTTGAAGCTGAGGTGAATGTGCTTGGAAAGATTCGGCATTTGAATCTATTGGCGCTGAGAGCTTACTATTTGGGACCCAAAGGAGAGAAGCTTCTGGTTTTTGACTTCATGACAAATGGAAGCCTAGCTGCTTTTCTCCATGGTAAGCTACATTTCTCAGAAAACTTGGTCTCGTGAAAGATTCAATTTTCTTTGTTCTATTTCAAATATTTAATGCGCATCACGCGCAGCAGATTCAGATTTGCAGCATAAAGTAAAAGTAATTTGATAAATCGAGTTTTTTTTAATCAAACCGAGACTTATTCAAAATTAATAAAAATGTTAGTAGAACTGAAAATTTTAAGCTGCCATTAATTGCAGCTAGAGGCCCGGACACTCCCATAGACTGGCCGACAAGGATGAGCATAGCCATGGGAACAGCAAGAGGTCTGAGCCATCTCCACAACAACGTAAACATTATCCATGGCAACCTCACCAGCTCCAACGTCCTCCTAGACGACAACTACAACGTCAAGATCGCCGACTACGGCCTCTCAAGACTGATGACGGCAGCCGCCAATTCCAACGTCATCGCCACCGCCGGAGCGCTCGGCTTCCGAGCACCGGAGCTTTCCAAGCTGAAGAAGGCCAGCACAAAGACTGATGTTTATAGCCTTGGGGTGATAATGCTTGAGCTCCTCACCGGGAAGTCGCCGGGAGATGCGGTGAATGGGGCGGATTTGCCGCAGTGGGTGGCTTCGATTGTGAAAGAGGAGTGGACAAATGAGGTGTTTGATTTGGAGCTTATGAAGGATGCAGCCGGGAATGCTGGTAACAAAATGATTTTTCTTCTGAGCTAATTTGTTATTAATTTTTTAAATTTATTTTTCCCACAAATTTGGGCTATAAAATTTGATTAAAACTATTTCTTACTTTTTCATATTATTTCATAATCGATACTTTACAGAGAACAATATAGCTGATTTTGACGGATTTTTAAGCTTGTTATCTGAATAAAATGAATAATTCAGAGTATCTCTTATACAGGTGACGAGTTGTTGAATACACTGAAGCTGGCGTTGCACTGTGTGGATCCCTCGCCGGGGGCGAGGCCGGAGGTCCGTGAGGTGCTTCAGCAACTGGAGGAGATCAAGCCTGAACTAGCCGTGGTAGTGGAGGAAGGCGGCGGGGAAGCCGTCAGTGCCGGTGATTAAGAGTTGTGCTAAAAGTTTTAGCTTACTTAATTAGTCTGACTTATACTTTTGGTTCTTTTATTTTTAAATGTTTTTATTTGTAAATATATACAGTTGATTTGCTGCTTATTTAGTAGAGTATACGTACTTTATTTTATAGAGATTTTTTTTTGTTGAATATATGCAGATTATCGTATGAATGCTTCTGAATGTTTTTCGAGCTGAAAAAAAAATCTCACAGAAAATTGTTGCAGTATTTATTATTCATTAACTAATTTAATTTTGACATATTTAAAAATAATTAAATTTAGCTAATTTTCAAATGTTGTATAGATTCTCTATCATTGTCGCCACAAGCCGCCACAATCACCATGGCAGACTATTGCCGAAACGACCTGACCAGTTGCCGACCATTACCACCACTGTCAGCTGTTGACATAGGCTTCCATCGCACCGGGCCATTGCCCACCACCTACTATTGACCATTGATGTCCGCTAGCTGCTAGCCACAATCACTGTTGGGATTTACATTGCATTCATTTTACTTAAAAAAAAAAATCATATAATTTATTTTATAGTTATTTTAACAATTCTAAATATTTCAAATATATTGTATTCCTAATACAATCTGTTTTCTTAACTCCACATTATTTTTTAATCTAATCAAATGGCTCTAATTAACAAACAAGAAAGTCTACTATTGATAAAGGATGGTCATGACATGGTTGACCCCCCTACCAACTAATTTTGATATGTTAAGGGTTAGCCAAACTCACTGGCGGATTCAGTGTGGGGGCCCTGGGGGCACGGGCCCCCACTGGCTTTGATATGAAAACCTAATTAATATTATTTATGATGTTTTAAATATGGGATAAATCAAATAATTTTTTTGACCTTTTTCATCCCAATAGCAATCCTTCCGGTATAGTGAAGTAAACGAATCGAACCCGACCGCAATTCACAAAATACATTTTTTTGAATAAATATCCCTTACACGAACAGCAAATTCTAGGCTAACCATCAGCAGCCTCAAGCAGCAATTGGGTTGAATATGCTATTGTTCATATCTAAGAAAATTCTAATCCTCCATGCGGTGTGGGACTAAACACACAGTTTTTTTTTCTCTTTTGTTTTCCTGTGGCCATGGGGGAGAGTAGCGGGAGAGAGAATAAAACCTCAAAAAGAAGGAGAGAGGGAGAGAGAGAGAGAGGCGGACATGGGGAGTTAAAAAAATTAAAAAACAGTTATTAAACATATTATCAAAATATATTATTTAAATAATATTATTTAGGGTATTTCTTAATGTTATTAAATACATTATTTAAAAAACAGTTATTAAAAAATATATATAATTTTAATAACATTATTGAATATATTTAATATTTATTTTTAATTAA